GTCATGAACCAGACTGAAGTATGCAGTAATTGATTAAAACCAGACATGTCACGGTTGCTTTTTATAGATCCAATTAAGTGTCAGCCTAATTAATGGAAGTTAGTGCACTAATTATAAGAGTCTGCATTATGACTCAGACTCAAACAAATGTTGTGCAAAAAATGTCAGAAATTTTTTTCAGACATCTAAGATAAATAATTACACTTATTTTTGTTACTCCTTAGCAACAGGAATGTTACACAACTGGACATCATTCCTGCAGCTGCATTCAGAAGAATTTAAAATTGTACAGTGTAGAGCAAATATTTGTTTAAAGACAATGCAATCTGTTTCATCATTAGCAAGTCATTTTGGAATCAAATTTTAAGAGCGTGTGTTGCCAAACTGCTGAGAATGAAGCCTCTTTTATGGAAGGCAGCCTCAAACACATCTCTTTTGAGCTCCACAGTGTTTTCTTGAACATCAAAATGACAGCTCTCTCTCTCTCTCTCTCTCTCATTCTCCATCCTCCATGCTTTGAAAAACACTGAAGTACGGGCATTTTAAAAGTGAAATCAGTGTGATTTTAGTACCTTCTGCAAACAATAGGAAATTCACTGAGTTCAGCTCTCTATAAACTCAGGCAGACACAGATAAAATAGTCTGGATGACTGAAATGCTTTTCAGACCCTCTCTGCAACCTGCAATACTAGTTGCAGGAGTGCAGAGAATACCTGGATTAGGCAGAAGAGCAGCAGAATACATGATGGTTTAGCAATCAAGCATATGTGCTTGAGGAGAGGGGCATTAATTATGCTGCATTTAAACCAAGTTTGATAAGTAGGTGTTAGCAGGCAGAAGTCAGAATGAAAGGCTGAGATTTTAAGTTAGCAGGAAAACACAAGTCCTGGGGACGTTGAACTGAAATGGACCTAGAGAGATAATTCACCAAGATGGTATTGTGCCTGAAATAGGTGGAAAGGACAGTGAGAACAAAGGCAAGAAAAATCTTAGAAGAAGAAAATTACTTGGGCTGGAAGGGACCTCAGGAGGTCACTGGCCCAGTCTTCTGTTGAAAGCAGGGTCAGCAAGAAGGCCAGACCAGCTCAAGGCTCCACCTAGCTGCATCTCTGATGAAGAACACCATTTCTCTCATCAATCTTTTTCAATGCTCGACTGATTTCTCCACTATTTCCCCCTTTACGTCCACTGGAGAACTTTACTTTTCTCAACTTATCTCCACTTGCCTCTTGTTCTTCTGTCATTCACCACTGCAAAGAGCAGGCCTGTCTTCAGAGAATCTCCTTGCAGGTCCTAACAGGCTGCTATTAGGTTGCTCCTCAGCCTTTTACGCATTTGCAGGGAATTTCAAGAGAATGTGAGATGAACAAGAGAGGAGAAACATAGTGAAGGCCTAATAAGAGAGAAAAGAAACAGGGCTAAGGAGGGCAAGGAATAATGAGATAACTTATGCTGCCATTTAGGGAAGGGATAGCTCCCAGAAGTTTTAGGAAAAGCAATTTTATTTAAGCTCATGATGCAAAAGGCAGAACAGACAGTGCCTGGGATGAAATGCGGCACAAGGGAAAAACACTGATGTTAAACTATTAACAAGAGAGGCAGAAAAGAGAGGAGCAGGTACAGCCTGTGGCAAAGGAGAAGAAAAAAAAACCTGCAGCCAACAAGCTGTACTTCTTGACAACAGTTGGCTGTGGCCCTTTCCAGTGTGCCTCTGAATCATCTTCAGCTGTCACAGACCCTCCAGCCCAGTTCAGGTCCCCAAAGGGGCCTTTGTCCTCACCAGAGGATCAGCGGACAAGGAAATACCACATGTACTTCACAGCAAACCAATGACATTTAAAACCAGATATCAGGACACAGACAGCCCTACACTTCTACCACACACACTGGTTACTGACTCATCCGAGACTGAGGAGACTGGAGAGCTGTATTACTGAATAAAGACTTTTCTGGAGACCTTAAAAAGCTCATAGATTTACAGCAGCTGACAATGATTCAGACACACTGAGCAGACAACCTAGATGCCGTCACTGCTGAGACAAGGCACAATGAAATGAGAAGTTGTGCCAAGCAGGCCATTTGTGTCACACTGAGAGACAAGATGAACTCCCCTGACCTTGCCTTCAATAACAAGCATACACAGCACAGCAGACCGTCAATAAATGCAGGAACATCTCTCTTCCCACTTATCCTCAAAGAAAAATCTCACCAACTATAAATGGCTCACTGTTCTCTCCTGTGATCAGGTACAGCATCTCAAGCAACCCTGCCATGAAACAGAGCCCTGGACAACACACAAGCTTGGGCATTCAAGTGATAGCCTGTGGTCTGCAGATGAACTCTGCAAGGACACAGAAGATAGGATTCCAGACTCATCAAGTAAGTCTTCTCCATAAGCCCCTTTCCAGCCTTTTCCAACCACAGCTTGGAGGCTGCTCATGGGCTCTGTAAAGCTAAAAGCTAACCTCAAAATTACACGACTGCCTATTTGATTGACCTTCTGTTCCCCCTCTACATACACCCCCCACCAAGGACAAATTCCTACCTGCCTCTCATACCTATCCTGCTCTACCTCTCCTTTCTAATGGACTTCTGCAGGATCTGTCTCTCTCCCAAGTCCTACAAGTCACAAAAGAATATGGTCAAGACTGGATGGGGAAGGTTCTCCTCAGCATTTCTATCTCAGTCCCCTCCCACAAATTCTCAGGAACAAAGTGTTCTTGAGAGCCTTAAGGCTGCAACACTCAACATTATATTTAAGCTAAAGGTAATTTTTGAAAACTACATCATTCTATAGACATTAAGAATTTAGTCTGGTTAAAACAAAGTAAATTTTATGGAATCAAATCCAAAACAGATAAATCTATACTGTTTTACTTGATTTGTTTATTGGAAGACCAGAATATTTCCATTTTGGAGGTGAAAGACTCACTTTTTACTACTCTTAAGACTAAGGGTGAAAGTGTCAAGTCTGTTAAAGAGAGAGTTCTCTTTCATAATGTGTTTGGTCTTCATCTACACTGAATTTTCCCAATAAATTAACTAAATTAGTACATTGAGTAGCTGGCATGATATCAACACAACAACCCTTATTTGAAGGCACATTTTTCTGAGCAGTTGCAATGTGGATTCTCCTCAGTCATGGTACTTCAGCCAAATCACTGCTGGCCAGCAGCACTGCTGATACAGCCTGTCACAGACCAGATCTCAGGCAGGCAGCAGTGCAATCGTTTGCCACGTGCCAAGGGGGTTCATCATGAACTTATGGTGACTTTAAAAGCACTTTTAAAGTGACGAGTGGAATGGAAACCTTCTAAAAATGGGAGGGATAAAATCCTAGCTTTGGAAAACGTGAAGTTTAAAGACCAGCCTTTTATCTGGAGTTCTGACCTGTATTTCTAATAATATTTGCTGCCCATGCCTCATATGCAATGTTGAGAATCAGTGTTGGAGTTTTTTTATGTAATCATTCTTGCATGGTTTAATTGGCTGCTGATAAATAGCTGCAGCAAAATTGTTCAAAGGGCAATTTTTGCATACAGATCAAAACATATAAATTTTTTCAGTAATCTCTGCCTGGTTTGTTCTCCCTGACACTGTCTCTTCCCAGACCAGCTCAATGTCTGTGATACGCTGAAATACTCAAGCTAGACATTCTTGATAGACAGGATGTTTCTCAAGTGGTGCCCCATCTGCTGCAGCCAAAGCACAGGTCACTTGGCAGCCAAAGACTGGCGTCATCTCAGATATTAGCTGGAGAAAGTTAATGAGGAAGAGGTTTGTTTAACTGATGGGGGAGAGATTTTGGTTCCTGGAAGATGGGATAACTGAGTTTATATGTGTTAGACTTAATTGACTGTCACACGTTGTGACCTTTACTGAAAGACGTAATTTCACAGTTCAAACAAGTCCAAAGAAAGAACATGGATTCTAATGATCAACCTGAAATACAATCTCACTCTATTATATCAGGTTGTACCCCTTAAATAGTACAGAGCCAACTCTGAGACAGAAAGCTAAACTCGGCAGATTATGTCTGGTAAATACTTTTTCCATTGATATCACTCAGATACACCTTGCTCTCTAAGGATGGATAAATAAATTTAAAAAATCAATGTTCTTCAGCATGCAGTACATTACAGCTCCATGTTCCTATTTTACAGTAGTGTGTTGTTCTTATAGACATTTTGAATCAATCCAGGGCCATCTAAATTTAGACGTGTTTATTCATAATGGAGCATAGCTGTTCTGGGAACCTGTTCCTTTTATTTTTATTTTATTTAAGTACACTGAGTTTTTGAGGCCTGCAGCTCAAGTGGTATTAAATCCCTTCAGTCTTCAAAAATAAATGAAGCTCTTCTAGATGCAAAAATACTGCACTGATACATCACACAGCTTGAACTCTCTAGATGCTGTGAGACCCTCCAGAGCATAGAATCATTGAATGGTTTTGGAAGTGACTCCAAAGACAATGCTGGTTCTAACTTCCTGGCCATGGACAAGGACACCTTCCACTGCCCCAGGTTGCTCAGAGCACCGTCCAACCTGGCCTTGAACACACCCAGGGATGGAGCATCCACAGCTTCTCTGGTAAACCTGTGCCAGTGCCTCACCACTCTCAAGTAAAGAATTCCTTCCTAATGTCTAATTTAAACCTTTCTTCTTTCAATCTGAAGCCATCCTGCCTTTTCCCTGTCACTCCATGCCCTTGTCCAAAGCCCCTCCTCAGTTCTCTTGTAGCCCCTTAAGTACTGGAAGGGACTCTAAGGTTTCCCTGGAGCCTCCTCTTCTCCAGGCTGAACAACCCCAGCTCTCTCAGCCTGTGTCCACACAAGAGGTGCTCCAACCCTCTGTCTAGGCTGGCCTCTCACCGCCCATCATCCAGCCACTGCCACTCAATCCATTTCTGGCAGATAACCATGGCAGATATCCAATGGATACCAAAATTACCAGCTGGGAATATCCCACAGACAAAGATGAAAACTTCTAATTTTGCTCACCCTGCCATTACTTCCAAATGGAGCTGGCCAGAAACTGTCAGGAAGGCAGGCACATTGAAGAAGTGGGTCTTTTCTGCAGACTCCTTTGCCTCGCTTGATGTCTGTAACAATGAGCAACAAGTCAGACCATTGGTGTTTAAATAAAAAGCACAGCACCCAGCTTATTTTCCCTCTTTTCAAAGCATCAATTTTCACTTTCCTACCAAGATGAACAGAGAGGAGGAAGAGAAGAATCTCTATCATTTATAGTTTGAAGCTTCATACAACATTGCTTTCAAAATTCAATTTCAAGCCTGATGAGAAAATGGAGGAGTGTTTTCTGTGTCAGCCCCACTGACTTTCAGAAAAAACTTTAAAAACAGTGTTATTTTCTTTTCATGGAGAAATGAATTTGTTTCCACTGGAAAAAGACAAACAGTAATAAAAAAAGGGCAATGTAATATCCTCTTAAGATTTGTTATTCAATCTTCAAAAATACCACAACTTAAACAATATTAATTTGGAGACATCACAGCTTACAAATCATATAGGCAGTGAAAAATAAACTGTTTAATTTCAGCTTTTGCATGCTTTTCCAGGTCATCAGATATTTTAAGCAGGAAAATCTACAAGTAATAGAAAATTTAGCAAGTTCAATGTTCCATTATGAAAAACCTCAAAAAAAAAAAAAAGTCCCAAGAGACAGTAGGCACAGATTTAAAAAAAACCCACAAAAATTCATCTGAAAACAAGAATAACCTTTAATATTTACTGTGGGTGTCAAGCACTAGAATAGGTTGTCCAGAGAGGCTGTAAAGTCTCCATCTGGGAAGATATAAAAAACTCAGCAGTGGAGTACTGGGCAACTTGCTCCAGACGACCCTGTTTGAGCACAGTGAGATGGATTAGATGATCTCTAGAGGTCACAACTCAGTGAGTTTTAAAGAAACATGAGGAAAAATGATATTGAAATATACAAGATGTTGAAACACAATGTCATCCCCAACCTTTGGAGGAGCCAAAGATTTCAGGAGAAAAACAGAACACACACTTCAAAGTTAATCTGAGGTCTGGCTGATCTACATTCACTTCCAAATGAAGACTTTCTTCTGAAATAAGTTTGAAATACCCACTTTTCAAGGTGTAGCTCCTAGGAGTCAAGCTAAGTGTTGCTAGTTCAGCTAAGGATGCCATTGCCTCTAGCCATCCCACTCCCCAACTAGCCCTGGCACAGAGAGCATTGTTCACCAGCCTTTGATAGTCTACAACCTGCCATTTTTTTCAATGAGCTTGAAGGTGTTGCTTTTGTTCTCAAAAAGCTCTGCTGCTCATCACAAAGATAAAACAGTGACTTCCAAAAACCTCAGATCACAAGGCAGTTTTATCTCTTCATAGCATCACATTGAAGAAAAGAGCAAGCTTGCCTTGTTCCACAGAGATCAATGAAAATATGACAATTTGCAGCTGTAACCCCAGGACTTCTTCCTTTGTTTCAGAGGTTTTGCAGTCCTAAAAAAACCAAACACCAAACTCCAAGGATGCAGAAGCAGGCCCCTACTGTTTTCATCAAATAAACCCAGAGCATTTGCTCAAAAACAATGAGGATATTAATAAACATCAAACATTCATATACTGCAGCCCCAGAACCATCACCAGAGCACTTAAAGAGAAGAGCCATGGTTTCTGGTTTCTTTCCCTGCAAGCTTAGTTCAGACATTGTTTGTTTCACCAGTGAAAAATCCCACCTAATCCTGTAGGATGCAACTTCTAAACAATGAGAAAGAGACAAACTGGAAGCAAGAAAAGAACAAGAAATCAGCCACAAAATCTCAATGCTTCCCCCAAATCCACAAACAGGATACAGCTGTCTCCAGGAGCTGGGGCCTGGTTTATTTATAATGACTGTGTCATTTTTCATTCTCCAAATCAGATGTAATCTCAGAGAGACATAAGGAAAATAGAAATACAGTAAGTGACTGGAGAAAGTGACACAGTCTACAACTCTACTGGGCTTCTGAAAACCTGCAGCCAGTTTGAGAGGTCACTGAGAGATCCCATGATTTATGTCTGCACTGTAAGCAGCTCCTGAAGGCTTCTGACAGAAGGTGAAGAGTAAACACAGAATTATTTAGATACCATTTTACTGCCCCATCACCATCTGATCACCTCCCCTCTCTGCAGCTGCCCACTTGCTCTCCCTCATCCTAAGGCACAATACTCCATACAATGGGTGTTGTGAGCTGCAACACAGCTCATGCAGAAAACTTTCCTATGCAGGAAAAACTGAATGCCTTCCTTTTTGTTCAGAAGAGACACCTTGGCAAGGGGATATTCCATAATTAGCAGCTGCGTGTTTCACAGGTATCAGCTAATCCACTGGAGGTGATTCTTCCACTTCACACATTTGAGCACAGGCTAATATTCCCAAGTGTCTGTGCCCCAGATTCTTGTTCAGCCTTTTAGATCAAGATGGCTTCTTTATTATATGAAACCACAGCCACCGGTACAAGACAAATGGTAGGGGACACTATCCCTTCACTGCTGACACTGGTTTTCGTGCCCGTGACTAGCAAAACAAGGCAACACACTGTGGTGCTTTTACTGATGGATGCTTCTCCCAATTCCCAACCCCAAAACATGGACTTGGTAAAAGATTAGGAGGGGAATGATAGGTTTCCCTTCAAGCTCTTTCCATCCCAGAGTCGAAAACCACCCAAATTACAATGGAGGAAAAGGGAGAGGAAATCTGTATGAAACAACTTGGTGTCTCAGAGTAAGCGTGCTATAAACACAATAGTATTTGACATCAACTTCAAAGGCTTTTTATTCTCATTCTAAATACAAGAACAACTGGATTTAGTACCTGTTTTGTTCTCCATCTCCTCAAATGTCTAATGATTTAATTTAAAATTATTCCCTTTGATGTCAGTCTTGTACTCACTTCTCCTTGAGGCAATTAGCTTCAGAAGAGTACAAACTGTTTGAGTCCGTCTTACACTCTATGCAAGCTAAAAGCATGAAGGGATCAGAGAAGACTTGAAAAGCTCATAGAAATCACTGCTGTAGCTCTAAGCCCAGGCCCACACCACCATGCTGCTGCAGCTTTCCAGAAACACTGGGATCTTTAATCCAGATTTTCCCTCTGTGACACCTCATTATTAACATGATTGGATTTTCCTTTTTAGACAACCCCTGCAAAATTCCTAACTTCCAAGAAGTCTTCTTTACAATTCCAGTCCTAATTCTGATCAGCTGGACTTGCACTGAGCAACAGCAGCTGGTTCTGCTGAGACACACATAAATACGTACTGGAATGCATAACGTCTCATGAATACAGACTGGACAGGCGGATATGAATCAGGTAGAAATGAGCAGAAACTGGGAGAGCTAGAACATGAAAAAGCAAGCTGTCCCTCAGCTCACGTCCAGTCTATCCTGATCCCTGCCAAGCCCACTTCTGAAGTACCAGACTCCCAGGAACTGGCTGCCTCCCAGACTGTCACACATCTCTAAAAGGGAGAACACCTTACAGACACTAATATTGTTGTGCTTAACTGTGATTCTCCCCAGTAGATCCCACCTTTCTTCGGTGCTGACAAGAACATTTTTCAATAGTACCGAAGGGATAGCAGGAGTAAGTTTCTGCATCTTTAGCAGCAGGTACATATTGCTGGTGCCACAGGTGACACAGCCATAAACTTGCACCTTCAGGAACCTAAAAACTTTGACATTCATTCCTGTGAGTGAGGAGCAAAAAGCCCCTGAAAGCCCAAACACTGTACAATCTCCAGATGCATTTTACAGAAGAACTATACCTGGATGATTCTTCAGGTTTATAGTTAAATATCCTTTCAAGTAATGAAATAGCCTGATCCAGACCCTGGGTTCAGCCAAGCACCATCCAGGTGCCATGAGGTGTTTATGTAGGAAGAGACAAGCCTCACACAGAGCACATTTTACCTGTGCTGGAGCCAACAGGTAGAGCACAACACTCCTTACATGTAGAGAGTGGTCCCAGGAAGGAATACAGCCAAAGGCCATAAAAACTGCATGTGAGATCTACTTTAAGGAGCTGTGAATACCTGATGTAGCTGTTAGGCTTTGGAACTCACTGCATGCTGAGCTCTCTTAAGAGGCTGCAGCTGGGCAACAGGGAAAGTGGCTGTGGAGACCCACAGTGAACCAGCTGGAGTATCCTGGGCCAGACAGGCTCTTACAGAGCACAGAGAAGCCTCCACCTTCTCCACAGCAGCTGAGAGCAGCCATACAAAGAAAATTTTCCAGGGAGCAAAGTGGAAAAGAGAGCAAGAGACTCAGAAAGCAGGGAGTTTTCAATACTGCAGACAGAGTGGGAGGCTACTGAAAATAGCAGGAAACAGACATGCAGCTGGGTCACAAGGACAAAAATAAGGCAGATTTCCTAGCATGCAGCCACAGAAGGGGACTGGGTAAAGTTTCTTGCAACATACAAAGCTGCTAAGAATTTTAGACTTCAGAAGAAATAAAAGAAAAATAAGAAAAAAAAAAGGAAAGAATCTGTGCTGAAGTGGAGGTGCTAAAGCTGCTTATATAGGGGAATTTTTTTCAGATTAAAATAGAATAAGGGCTATCTGCTCCTGTTGATCTGCATTCTCCCTATTTCAAGAATTACCTAATGCCGCTTGGATGATAACAAAACACTGCTTTCAACAGTCAAAGCTCTTCTAGTATTTTCCATATATTTACTTTAAAGAAAGAAACACAAACAAGATGCTTTCTCCCCTACACCCTTCCACCACAGGAAGACACTGTCAACAGTGCAGAAAGCCACAAGTTGGTGTTGCTGATGCTCTCCATGTGGGTTAGGGTCTGCCTAGTCGTCTTCATACCTCATGCAGTTTCTCCTCAAACCTACACTTCTCAGTAGAAAAGTTTCCTCTGGAGTCGTTACCATCTTGGGACTTATTTATTCTTTAAAATATCCTCTGCTTACTGCACTCTTTCCATTACAGTACTTCATTTTAAAAACATTTAGTTGGTTTGCCCAGCAGAGAGGGAATATGGATTCTCCCCCATTCTAATATGACAGCATCCCAACCAAAGCTATGTACAGACTAATCAGTATATCCAAAACCAAACAAAGATAATGAGGAAGCTGAACATATAAACAAACACAAATCCTACAAGATTAAGAGTTTTAGGAATCAAAGACCATATTTCAAAAAGCCTTTTCATTCTAACTTCAGATACATTTTTCCCCATCTCTTCAATTCACATGTAAAGACATATTCCTACTTTCTTCACTTTCCATCACTTCAAAAGAATGCACAGGCCTGAGCAGCCATCAGACATTAGTCAGAGGATTAAAACCGTGCAATAAGTGAAAACAGATATTTGAAGGTAACAGTTCACAGTGGGTGCAAAAGCAGCTTCTACTTGGGTCCCAAAGGCTATTCAACTAAAATCTTCAACTTACTCCATCTGCAGCAGGTCAGCTAAACTGGTGAGACTATTAGTTCTATACACTGCTCAAGGGAGCTAAAAACAAAAAGAAAAACCAAATCCAAAAGGCAGAAAAAACTCAACCCATTAACAGTAATTGTATTGCAACTACTACAAATTCAGGAGTAATAGGACACCAATTCTGGTTGCAGCTAGGAGAGAGGTCTTAAAACTTAAGGAACAGGATTTAAATATTTTTTGAAACTGAAGAATCTAATTTGAAGGTTGTTTTCATCAATTCCCATCACCAGAAATCTTAGCTCCTCCTCAAATATAAGAGGAACATGAATTTATATTCCCCCTTGTCCTGTTCAAACAGTGAATTACAGGCTAGTTTAGAAAGTGACTGAGTACAGCAGACAAGAACGTCTTGATAGTTGGTTTGGTTAAAAGCACATGAAGATTCTGGGCTTTGCTGCAAATACCACACCCTTCTTTTTATGTCTGACACCCTTCTGCCACTCTTATTTTGTGTCTGACAGCATCACATGCATTGGCCCAAGGCAGGCTTAATCTTCCCCACCTTTTCACTGTCACAAAACAGTGTCACTGCTCGAGTAAAGTAAACCCAGAAGGATAGCAGGTGGTCTTGGATCTCGGCTAGCCAGCACCAATTGTGAACAGGGCTTTGCCAAACAAAACTAAGTCCTAAATGAGGCCAGACAATGAAGCCTTACTCAAAGAAGAAACAGGAAAACAGGGAGAACTTCCCTCTTCCCAGCAGCAAGTGGGTTTGTGAAGCCCTTCCTTTATGGCACAGTCCATTTAATGGGGTCTGACTTGGCACATACAGCACACCTTTCAGGCACAACTGTAGTTACATTTCTCCAGACAAGTATTTTTTGCAAAATCAGCAATCCCACTGGAGAGGAGTAAAATATCTGCCTTGAACCATGCATTTAGATAAGATCCAGTTTATGCAAGTTTCAGGCTCACAATTTAGCACCTCATTCAACATTTGCATCAGGGCTTCTGTCACTACCAGCCACCTACACTGTAGTCCTGCATCCTCTACAGCTTTCAAGTGGATACAATTTGTACCAAAGACGAAATACACTGTACAGCTGCAAACTGCATAATGTTTCCATCATTAAGTGCTACTTGTTTTCACGTCTTAATTTGCATGCAACAGCCTGAAGTGAACCTTGGGTAGCATTAAGGCATCTCAATTAAACAGGAACAATTTAGTTTAGCTAATCAGCCTTATTGTCCCAGCAAGCAAAAAGCTGAGCCACATGCACTGGTCTGGAAGGGAATCACTGGTAGCACAGGTTAGACCCTGAGATCCTGGAGAACAAGTAGACAGAAGCTTTTTTTGTCAGGAGGCTGTGCAGAGTGGAAGACACGATCCCACAGCAAGTAACTGCTACCTCAACAGCTTTTCTTTTGCTTACACATGAATCACCAGCAAATCTGGAGCCAAGAATGGCAATGGATGCTGTTGTTTGAGACAGAAGAGTGAATTTCAGATACAGGAGTATAAAATGCAGATGGAACTCCGTATTATTAATGACTGTGGTGTCAGGAATCATGAGAAGTCTGTGGGGAAGATCTTAGTGGTTATGGTTGTGTTTCAGATTCACAAGAGGTTCTGACCCATGATGTGAACTACTCTTATAGTAAGATTGTGACAGCAATTTGGTGGTTATGGGGAGGTTTGACAATATTGGGGGGAAATTCTGACATAAAACAGGAGTAGCTTGTAGGGAGAAACCTGTATGCACACACTGGTGAAAAGCAGTTTCAGGTATTGCTGCTTTTTTTTTTTTTTAACGATTATCTCATTATTAATTATATTCTTTGTTTGAAAGCTAAGAAATATTTGAGTGTAGTAGTCTGTCCTGAATGACCCATCCCATCTCTTGGGCTCTTGTGATCACATCATTCTGTTTACCAAGATGTTCCACCTCTCCCTGTTATTCTTTGTAAATTTTTCCACAGCACCAGTGATAGAACAACCTCACCAGTAAAAAAGGATTAATGCACAAAATAGCAATAAAATAAAAGATAATGTCTCTGTTTAACTGCCTAAATTATTAGTTGAAGCAAAGGATCTATATTAAAAAAATCACAGAAGTACATAAAAGGGTTTATAAAGTTAAGTATTTCCTCTAACCTTTAATAACCCAGGAATTGCTTTGCAAAAAGAAAAAAAGAAAGCAACAAACTTTATGCAACCCAACCCAACTTACCTCAATTTGAAAGAGTTCCCCAGCACCTTCACAGTCATTGGATGTAATTATAGGGGTATGAATATGCACATATCCATTATTCTGGAACAGAGAGAACAGCAAAGCTGAAGATACCAAGCATCACCCTGAAGGATGACATCAACCAGCACACATAACTAGGCCATTAGCCCCCAGCCAGGACAGCACATGTAGTCTTTTGGGCAGCTTTTGCCTTACAGGCACAGATGACAAACTAAATGCTAGCATGATTTACAAATCAGTGTTTACTACCTGTGCGTTTTTCTCCAGGTTTCATAACCAAAAGACATTTATATCACTACTATGAGGTTTTTTTTGCAATGGCCTGTTTCCACAACATTCCCCTTTCTTCTCACTTCCTCTAGCATTTTTATATTTTTGGGCAGTTTTGACCAAATTCACCCCTATGACCTCGACACTTTGTTTCTTTCAGCTTTCTGAAAGCGGTGGTCAGGCAAAGGACACTCTTTGTGTGCTGCATTAAGAGAAGTGATGAAATGTGTTGGATAACAGAAATCACACACTGGATGAAAGAGACCTTAAAAACACCCAACCACCAATGAAATGTCAGCTCTACCTTGCATCTTCTAAGATACTGAAGTCAAGCTGATTTTAAGAGACAGGGTATACCCTGGCTTGGTCATGTTCTAGGTACCTGCAGAGTTACCAATTCATGTAATAGTTCAGAAATCCAGCAGAGACCTCTGAAACCAGTAAGGTTGAATGAAGAAAGAGCCCCTGCTCTCTGGACTTCTCTGCAGTGCAGCCATAGGCTTTTAAAACAGCTACAACCCAATATTCAGTCGATGGATACATCTTAGCTTCATAGCTTTTACCAGAATAATACAACTCAGTCATGTGAGAGGTCCTGGTCCTTATCACCAGCTCGTTAAGGGGCTAGGAAGACAGGAATAGTATTTACTGCCCACTCTGAGAATCAAACTAAAATTAATTAGGAAAAAAACCTTCATATGGACATGCAATGCATTTTGTGGTAGTGCAGTAACACAACCATGAGGGAGCAAGGGTCCTGCAGTCAGCTCTAGGCTACCTCGGTTACAGGTGCAAAGCCCTTGGCTCCTCACTGGCATCCAGTTACTGCACAGAAGGAAGTTTTGGATCCAGAAATATTTGCTTTGCCTGGAGAAGCAAGTTTCAGTCTACCAGTACAAAATGCAGGCCTCTGACACAGTTCCCTGAATATTCAGAGCCCTGCTGGTTGCATAGCCTCCCAGCTCTATAGGAGATGTTGGAAAAATGCTAAATTCCTTATACAGTGGTAGTAGTTGCTGTAAAGAAGCACATTTCACACAGAAGATCCCTTACGTGCTTTGGAAAGGAATGCAAACTGCACAGATGTGAAATAGCAGAATCCCCTAAAAACCTATTGGATAATTCCACTTATAAAAGCTTCTAAAATAATTCAAGTTGCATTACTGCTTCACAAACCTGGAACTTAACAGAAGAACAGAATAGAAGCCACCATTCACAATGCAACTATATTATTGTGCCTGAGAACAATGCTCCTATACTACTTGGACCACAATTCTCAGGACAAGATTTTAAGAAGACATTTTAGCTTTCAACATCCAAACCAAAGGCACTTGGTACTAGTCATTTATTCCTGGAAATGAACAGGCTAAAAAAGAGAAGTTTTTAAAGTTAAAGAGAAGTCTTGATAACTTTATGCATTCAAACAGCTCCACTTACTTTCTCCACCATTAAGCTCCTTACAGCTTTGTAGAGTGAAAATGCTCAAATTATACTTGGTAGCTATGGTATGTTCTGATATTGTCAACTGAAAATTGCAATATTCTTGGGATAATGCAAGTGACAATTTTAAGACTCGCTTCCATTAGAAATGGAATAAAATCCCTGGTGCTAGCAGAGTTCTCACACAAGCATTTGTAAATATCAGGTCAGGGACCAAATCTTCTTTTAAAAATAACTTTAGTGTAGCTGCTGCTGCTAAATTGATGGTAGATTCTATTTTTTAATAGAGCTCTGCTCTTGAGCACTGTAACCAGGAAGGTATGTCAGAGCCTGAGCGGGAGCTGATTTGGAGAAGCACAGCCAGAATAAGGCGGTTTTGTATCTCGGCTGCCTTAGGTGTCCAGGTCTGGAAGCACAAACCATTGCAGGCAATGCCATCTAGTGGCTCGACACCGGCACAGACTGATTCCCAACACAGCTGGCTTCTGTCTTAGGAGCAGGCACAATCCTGAAACTAGTAGCTTCACCTGACACGAGATTTCTCTTAAAAAAATACAAAATACCCCCCTACATCCCGACAAAACCCACAAAAGTCCTCCAAATGCCGTGCAATTCCACACAGTTCTTCGAGCAAGCAAGCCTTCTTCGACACTGCAGACAACAAAAACCAGCAAACCTGGGACTAGAAATTATCATCTCAGCATTTCTAACCTGTTCCTTGGGCCACACTAATTATTACGTATGAATTTTGTCAACATAATGTTCTGAATGCGATTTTATCCTATCTAAAGCCAGCTTATCTAAACTAAAACATGTTTATTTCCAGGAACAGTTTTAAAGAAAGGTTTAGGTGTGCTAGAGGACTTGCTACCCTTTCTTTTTCTAGTCACACATGGTCTCTACGTGATATCTGGCACCACAGTCAATTCACTGCCCCCCGCCTGCACAAAGCCTGTGGTGTGCTCACAGCTTAAGAGTGACATTCAGAAAACACAGGTGGCTCCCACCCAGCAGTTTCAAATGCATCAGAACAGGAGTCTCCTAATGTCAGCTAACAGCAGCCACACAGACTCATATCGCAGTAAGAGGCAAGAACTGAGAATAACATGAAGCTCTGAGTTACTTTGTCTGTGTTCCTGCATCACAGATTTTTCCATGTGGGAGGAGATTGCTGTCCAAGGACCATAAGGTCACTGGAGAGGACGGGTTGAACAAGTCCATGTTATGCTGTGTTCCACAGACCACACACTTGCAGGCAATTGTACTGCAACTCTGTGAAAGGGATAAATAACAGGAAATGGGTGGAAAGACACTGACAGGCCACAGATGTGCTAACCTGATCATAAGCAACAGTCTGGCCAAATGCCCAGCCAGGCCCAGGCCTGGAAAAAAAGCCACTGTGTGCACAATCCATACTCTACAGCAAGATGCCAAGCTCCTTCCCTCCTAACCTGCTCCCATAAAGCCTGCCTGGGTGGAGTGTCCTGCTTGAGAGGCTGGGCACAGAAGGGACTACCTGGAAGAAGGAGTGGATGCCTGCAGTGGCTTCACTGCGGATTCGCAGCAGGGCACCCAGCGTGTTGTTCCTGCATCGCAGGTGGGGGAACTGTCGGACATACTCCAGTGGGTGCCTCTCCTTCATTTTCAGGGGAAATGACTGAAAACAACAAGGAAATCGAAGTAAGAGGGTGAGAACTTGGGAGTCCATGCAGTTTTATTGCTATTCACAGAATGACATCCCTCCCTACTAAAACTCAAATCACCATTACAGAGCACAGAAGAACTAGAAGCTTTTGCCTCTATTTTTGGTTATTTTGTATATTTTACAATGCTTACAGCAGAGCAAGAGCCATGAACCCAAGAGGAAGCATTAGCATTCTAAAATGCTCCACCTTTTGGATGTTGAGCCCCCCTGAAACCCATCTGTTCACCTCACTGCTGCAACAGCAAGCTGGTTCTGGACATGCCTGTGGCAGATATGGTTCTTCCAGCTGCACAACCTGGAGCAACTGGCAAGGTGCTGTTTCTCCAATTCATAGCTGAGCCAGACTTACCAGGTAAGCCACCTGCACAGGTAAGTGCTTCAGGGTGGGACAAAGGCAATTGTCAGTCTGTGCACATTTTCCATGGAGAAATGGCTCTGTCCCAGAAATGAGCTTTCATGGTGATCCCATGTTTCTCTTTTGATGCACCCTACAGACACTGCTGACAAATCAAAGTCCGCAGGACCACTCAAACTTAAAGAAAATACAGTCTCAAGCATGCTTTGCCTTATACTTAGACCTTTAAAAATTGATTTCCCGCAGTCCTACCCCTCCTGTGATAGTGACATACCCAAATATCACAAGGTCCCACCACATGAATGGTTTCTGCTTGCAGCTCCATGTTTTGCATCCTATGAGGACTTTTGACAAGCTTCCCTTGCACTTCCACTGCACTTCCAAAAGTCAGGTCTCTAAGAAATGAAGAAAAAACAACAGCTTAACTAGGTGCTGATAAAACTACATTCAGAAGAGAGATTCCTGTTAACTTAGCTGGATTACTTAAAACCACAAGAAATGCTGTAGCCATAGAGCTTAACTGATGAAATTAAAAATTATTAAATGCAGAGATGGGAATGGGAAGACATTTACAAAGCTATAGAAGAACTTAGGACAAGGCAGGAATGTTGGACAGGTGGGGAGAAAAGCGATGGGTTTTTATTAGAAGGAGCTCTTTCTAACAAATATGGTTGGCAAGTCCCTGGCACAGGGCAGGAGGCCTAAGCAGACCCCTCCAAGCACTGCTCAGCACATGTATTTCTCCAGTTATTTCAAATGGACCTACCTCTTTTCCAGGCTCGGATCAGCAACCACCTGGAGGCTTTCCAGAGAACTACCATCATTTATGTGCAGGAACAAAACTTCCTTCTGGGATCGGACAGAGCGGACCCAGCCCTGAAGGTAAAAGAAAAAGACATTTGTTATTTCTTGGCAGGAATGCTGTGTGCTCATGCTCTTTTTCCAGCCGAGCTGGACACACCACTTTATGCCTATTTCAGCTTCTACTGAAATCAAAGTAACTCTTTAGAGGCAAAAAATAATGACAATAAAAAAAAAAAAGAGAAAAAAAAAGTGTCAGCTTCAAAGCAGAGAGAAACAAATCCTTAGGCAGAGACATCTTCTGAGGCAGTCTCTTCCTGAGAACAGCAAGGATTAATAAGATGTACCTGCATCTTTGGGGAGATAAGAATACAGAAAGCAACGAAGAGCTCTGAAGATGCACTGTTTTAGCAAAGTACATATTCCTGTCAGTGATGTCCCTTCCAAACTCTTCTTATTAAAACAGGAGAGACCATGAATGCAGTAGTTTTCATTACAATACACTCAAGACCATTCTGATGGTTTTCAGTATCAGTTTTGTTGTTGTATCCCTGTAGAAAGGTTCCAATCTTCAAATCTGCTCACCAGTGGCTTATGTGCCCTAAACTGCTAAAACAATGTTGCAGCCAATAGATTAACATGAAAAACTATGTATTCATGCAAAACAAAAATAAAAATTATTGCCTTGGATGTTTCTCCTTTCATCTCAAAATCAAGACTGCTTCACTGAGCCCATAGAAAAAAGATATTTAGAAAAAGATTTAGAAATACTTTGTCCAGTTTTATGAAAAGAATTAAACTAGTAATACCCAAATTCTTTGCAATAGCAAAACAGTAGAACGGACCATATACAGTGCAGGCTAATATCTTGAGTTTTTTAATGACATATAAATTTTAATTACTTTTTAAAGAGAAATATTAAGTCAGTACCAAGGCAGCAAGCAACAGTAATACCATCCAAAATGTAACTCCCATAGCTGCTCCTCAGCTCACCAGAGTTGAGACAAAGCTGGCCTTCAAAGCAAAATTATCTGCTGGGGGTCTTCTAGCTCATCTTCTTTCTCAATATTGTAGAGAACAACCAGAACCAATGCTGAGTAAACAACCAAACTGCCTCTTTTCCAACCAGCTTGGTCTTTTTCTTAACTGGAAGGGACCAAATAGTTCAAATGACTTCAAACTCTGCAAGTGCTTTAGGGATTTTATACCAGACAAACCAATGCAAATCTACCTACTTCTGTGACCCAGACAGAACAAACCAAGAATTAAACAGCACCAGAAGAAAAGCATGTTACAGTTTTAAGAAGGGCTACTAACACAGGCTTGTGTAACACGCTTTCCATGTAAGAAGTATGGAAGATTTTAAAGACATGAATCTAGTGAGTCAGACAGGGCAAATCACCCCTGCAGAGTGTTCCACCCAAAGGAAGAAAACGAACACAAGAAACAAGATCATCTGGGCATCTTCGTATTTGTATGGTTAAAGTAAAAGGTATTTCATGCAGTAACATGCCTGAAGCCGCTGTGCTTATCCTCTGTATTCCAGGAAATACCCAGAACACGTCACGTATGTTATACTAGAAGCACATTTAATGTATAATGGCACATGTTTTTCCTCAGTTTCCCTCCCTACAAACACTCCTTAACAAAACACACACACAAAAAAATGAACAAAGAGACATTCTCAAGAGCTTTTTTTGCCACCTCATCAAGCTGTTCTGGGATCTATTAAACAAGGAGAGGAGTCTTGCATCCTGCAAAAGGAAGTAAAAGCATACCCACAGGATTGCATTGGAGCAGCAGAGGCTGCAGCAGCAACGTTTTGACCACTTCACACCTCACCAGAATGAATGTACAATAAAAGTGACAATCCTGACTGAAACGACTAGACTGCACATTCCAACAACCTGGCCATTATAAGGCTGGAACTAAGCCAGACCAGATTTCTAGCCCATTTTAACAGAAAATTCCCACATTTTGCCAGCACAGGGGAAGAGCAAAGCAGAAAGGGTCTGGAGAACAGGGAAGGGGGAGGAATGACAGTATGCAAATTTTAGCATCAGTTTATTCTAGCTTGCATTATTCATCAAATTACATCTGAAAAGAACCAACACTGGATGAGCTTCTTCCTACCCTATTCCTCACCTATGTGTGAGCAGGAATACCAGTGTGCTACAAACTGTTTTTTGGGTCAGAAGAATCACAGGAAGGCTTGAATTGGAAGGGACATTAAAGATTATCCAGTTCCAACCCCACTGCCATGGGCAAGGACACCTTCCACTAAACCAGGTTGTTGCTCCAAGCCCCATCCTGGCCTTGAACACTTCCAGGGATGGGGCAGCGACATCTTCTCTAGGCAACCTATGCCAGTGCATAGTGAGAAATCTCCTTCTTATAAATCTCAATCTAGCCTCTTTCCGTTTTGTTTAAAACTGTTACTAAGTACCCTAGTCCTTTTCATATTTATGCAGAAATACTGACAACTGAATAGTTCTGCATTGAAACAGGGGACTCTGTGAGTGCAACCACCACCCTGCCAGCTGGAAACACCAGAAAACAGGGGAACACATAATCCTATGCCAAGGAAAAGTGCTCCATACCTAAACTGTTCATTAATTCCAGGCTATTTTGGTTCACAAGAGGAGCCAAATACAAACGCCAGTGGAAGTGTAATCAATGGTTCTACTGACACTGCTCTAAACCTAGATATACACGGCACAAAACCTACGAAAAAGCTTTAAAACCAGCAACACACAGGCAATGGCTCGCTCTCGGGAACAGAACAGGTGATAAAGCCATCGTGGTGGGGAGCGCATTCAGTACAGCCCATCACAGTGACAGCGCTCCTCGGACGTGCCGAGGGACCCCAAAGCTCCGCTGGCTGCGACAACAGCGACCCGAGCGCGCCCAGCGGGAGAACACACGGGGAGGCTCTGCACGACCGCAGAGGAGAGTTGGGAGCTCAGCAAAACGCTCTGCAGCCTCCCAGGTTTCCCTCCCCTGCGCTCAGGCTGCGGGCCGGGCACACCCGGGGCACACACCTGCACTCTGACCGCGTCCGCCGGCTCCCGCGCCCCCAGCGCCTCGCGCACCCGCAGCCGCACGGCCCGCGGCAGGGAGGAGCAGCGGCGGAGGGCCCGCCACCCGCCCAGCATGGCGAGGCCTGGTGGGCCCGCACCCCCAGACCCGCGGCCCGAGCCGGTCCGGCCCCTCCCGGGTCTCGGCTCCCGTTCCGCTCTCGGCCCGCTCCTGCTCGGGCCCACGTGAGTCGGACTGCCTCCCTCCGCCCCACGTGACCGCCCGTCCAGCCAATGGCTGCTCGGACTGCCCCCAGCCAGCCAATCGGAACAGAACGCGCCGCTCAGCCCACCTGTTCCGCCGCCCGGGCGCAAGCGGCCCTGGGAAATGTAGTTCCTCCTATGGGGTGTCGGCTGGTGGCGGGACACGTGGGGGTGGGATCCCCGCGAGTGGGGAGAAGGATGCTCCGTGGTCGGGAGAGGGATCCCGTGTTGGGACACAAGGGATCCCCGTGGCGGGGGTAGGGGATCCTGCTGATCTCTGGGACCACCCCAGCGGCAGCATGGTCTTGGGGACCTTCAGCCACTCTCCTGTCCCCCCGGGCTTCTCTCAGGGACCATAGCCCCTCGACATTCCTCGCTTTTCCTGATAAGAGGCGCAGGACTTGGGTCTGCTCTGCAAGCCTTGCTGACGAATAAACCTTTTGTCCTGTTTCTTCTTGAGGCTAATGCCCCTCTGTCCTTCCAGCTCCTCTGAGTGGATGGTGAGGAGCATCAGGGTCTCCCTCCAGCCCTGCAGGGAATGACTTGGCAATAGGGGTAGGCTTAAAATTGGACATGACCCAGCAATGTGCACTTGCAACCCAGAAAGCCAATTGTATCCTGGGCTGCCTCTGAAGCAGTGGGGCCAGCAGGGCAAGGGAGGGGATTCTGTCCCCTATTTTTGTGAGACCCCACCTGGAGCATCCAGCTCTGGGCTCAACAGCACTGGAAACAGATGGACCTATTGGACTGAGTACAAAGGAGGCCACAAAGATGATCAGAGAGCTGGAGCACCTTTGCTATGGAGATGGGCTGAGAGTTGAGGCTGCTCAGCCTGGAGAAAAGAAGGTTTCTTCCTTACTGCAGCCTTCCAGACTTAAAGAGGGCTTATAAGAAAGAGAAACCTTTTGTGCAACGATAAGGGATAATGGTTTCAATATGAAAGAGTGTAGATTTAGATTGCACACAAGGAAGAAATCCTGTACTGTGAGGGTGGTGATGCTTTGGAAGAGGTTTCCCAGAGAAGCTGTAGCTGCCTCAACCTTAAAGTGTTCAAAGACAGGTTGAATGGGGCTTGGATCAACTTGGTCTAATGGAAGGGTCCCCTGCCCATGACAGGAATGTTGAAATTAAATAATATTTAAATGTCCCAACCCCAAACATTCTGTGATTCTATGAAATGTAAAGTCAGTGCTGCTTCCCCGTGCAGCCCAGTCTTTGCTGTTCTACCTGCCTGATTCATGGCTGTCCCTCTTCTGCAGCATCTCTGCAGGAAGGCAGCAGCCAAACATGTCTGCTGTGCTTGTGGTCAGAGGTTGTCTCATTGCTGTGTTTTGATCATTGGAGCACTGTGGGTGACATAAGAGAGCAGCAGTGGGATGCCCCAGGGCCAGAAGGTGCTGGGAGGCAGCTTTGGTAGTTACACTGCTTATGTAGAGACAAATCCCTACATTGCTGTAAAGTCCCAGGTGAGAAAAGAATTGCTGGCCAGAGACTACATTTAGAAGAAACAAGCTGGGCTCTTGGGAAAGAGAGAGGAAAGCTTTGTAGATGCCTGGTTTCGACTTTCCCATGTGATTCTTTTTATCTGTGCATGAAAAGCTTTTTGTCCTCAAAGTCCAAAGCTGCTTGTCAGGGCCTTCCTTCATGTCTGCTTCTGCTCCAAGTAAGCCAGTGTTCCCACCCCTGGCTCAGTCCTGACCTGAGCTCTGACCTGCCTTGAAATACCGTCCTGAGGAATTAGATCTGCAGGGCAGGGGCACAGACCTAACCAGGTGAATAAGACACTGAGAGGTAGGACAGGAGACCTCACGGATGGGGTACAGGGAGGGAGGGTAGAGGGAGGGATAGAAGCATATCCTCAGGCAGTAAGGACAGCTTTTGCAGTATCTGTCCTCTGTGCCACAGCATGGAATCGTGGGAACTGCCTGGACACACATGGGTTACTGCCACAGTGCTGGATGGAAACACAGGGGCATGCATGTCTTTGTACTCCTCAGTGAGCAAAATTAGTTTTATTTTAATGCCAATCGCCATCCTCTCCTGTAAGGGCCAGCACTGAGCTTTGCTGTATGTTGATACACTGCTCTGATGTGGTTTCTTGGAGAATCACACTGCAGGGAGGAGCTGGTACTGCTGCAGTGTCAGGCAGAGATACAGGATGTAAATTGGTAGGGAATTAGGGCTCTGTCGTTCAGGGAACTCCTGGTGTAATGTGAGAATTAAACGTGTGTGTAATGACTGCTCAGTGCATGTTGCACGTTCTCTGTGCCTGGTCACAGATGCTGCATTTATTACTGCTCTCAGCTATAGGTTTTTTCTCCTGTTCTGCCATAGTGCCCAGAATATTTTTCCAGGGTTATTTGACTCATAAAACCCTCTTCAGGCCAAAGAAACAATTAATTTAAGGAAGTATTAGATGGTAGCACCAGTGACAATGTCTAAACACACCAGGAAAGGGGTAAGGTCCTTCCCCCTCAGACCCATCTGCTCCAGGACCACCTGTGGGTAATTGAAGGCAAGGGCATAATACAGGAAATTCTGGCCTCACATGTTTTTGGACTGGACTTTTCCCATCCAGCTGAATAACCTTCTCTATAAAGACCAAATGG